TAATATTTCCGGTTGTGTCGACCGACCTCCCGACACAAGACACCGACATATCCAATTCAATATCGAATCGAATATACGAGTGGAGTGTGGAGTGTCATTGTATTCGTGTCAGTGCCAAATTATTTTATTGGAAAATTTGCATGACAATGGCACTGAAGTTATGGGAACTGATACTTTATGGAGGCACTCAAATTACGAATATATTTGGCAGGTGCGTGGAGAGCACTTTCGGCCTAAATGAATTATATATGCCAGTGCCTATATACATACATACATATATCTCTATTCTATAAAGCAGCTTTGCAGCATTATGCGGGAGGCCTGCGGGACTCATGCACTTTGGGTTCGTTTAATTAGCAATAAAATTAGTCATTATCCTGCACAGGCACTGTGGCAGTGACCGAAAATAAAAGGAATCAGGGCGTGGCAATGCTGCCATAAAACGCGAAACAAACGAAACAAGCCAGCTAGCCGCTGGCACCACAAAAGTCAACTTCAAATAAATTTAAATTTTAATTTCAATCTCAGTCTGACTCGTTCAACAGTGCCGCACAAAAGCCGTCTGTGGCAGCTACCTTACCCTTTTCCCCCTCCCTCCATTCCCCAGGCACCTCTTCCACTCCCGAACATCCTGTTCCCTCGCTCCTCCATTATCCTTGCCACCGCTGCGTAGACAACTTCCACTGGCGCAGCTGCCATTTTGTGTGTGTCCGTGTGCAAGTGAGTGCGGTCTGATGGAAGCCATTGGCAGGTCCCTGGGCTAACGGGCCAGCTCTTTACGAGTGTGAGGGTGTGTGGCAAGTGCACAAGTGTGTGTGTGCACATTGCACACGAGGGTGAACCGTAGCATAAATGACTTAATCGCAAATTTGTCGGAAATCCATTACAACTGAATTTCGCTGGCTTTTGGGGGAGCTTTATGGATATTTTCAGTTTTAATGCAGCAAGTACCCCAGATTCGCTGGCTCATAACTCACCAAAAGCCAATAAAAATATCATTAAGGAAAATCGATGATATTAATGATGGTTTTTCTATATTTAAGGTTTTTAAATATTTAGGGATATTTTAGCTTAAATAAAACTTTAAATACACTTTAAAAAGTATAAAGAAATTGGTGGTATATTCGGAATGTTTGCACTTAAATTGGGAAGAGCTGATGTTCTAATACCTTTTCTAGATATATATTTTTTGTTAATATTTTAAGAGTCGAGAAGTGAAGTACTAAGTCTTCAAAAATATTTATATCTAGCCTACTTAATAGGTTTAAGTCTAGATTCTAAAACATATACATAAAATGGAACAAAATAGGTAACGTTTCTAGAGTATTTCAAAGTTCCTGAACATAAAACATCTGCTTTTCTCTTAATTAGATCTTCAGCTTTATGGCATTTCTCTTTTACTTAAAAATATACCTATATAATTATAAAAGTAAATAAACTTTTTTTTTAAAACTTTTCCAATCTTACCCAAAAGTAATGATAGAAAATGTTGAAAATTTCGGCCATAATATTAAAAGCAAACGCTTCCCAGAACATCCACGCCAGAAATTAAGCGCCTAGGGTGTATTCGAGTGGTTTCTATATAATGTATGTATGCATTCCCCATGAATAATTAAAGTACGAGGCTTTGCTCCAGTTCATTTTTACCTTTTGCCTTTTTGCCTTTTGGCTGCTGTGGCTGGTGGCTGCTGGGATGCTCGGATGCTCAGCAGGCTCGCCAGGACAGCAGCTGCCAGCCCCCGCACGATATGACGTATACGCCGCGTTGGCTGTCTGACACTAAATGGCAGTCTTTTGATGCAATGTCTCCTGTGGCCAGTCGGGCCGCACGATTTGCGTAACTAGGCACATGTTGAGTCATCATGGCCTTTGTGTGCGAGTGTGTATGAGTGTTTGTGGATTTGCTCGTTTGTGGGCGTGCTTGCCACAAAACAATTGCGGTCTTTTATAAATATAATGGCGTACGGTTGTGCGGCACTAGACTGTAATTACCAAACTTGCATAATTTAGCAGCTTAGGGCCTTGGACAACGCCTTGGACACGGGACGTGGGACAGGATGGAAAACAGAAGAGTGGCTAGAAAATGTTATTATTTTGCAATCATATTGATTTTCTTGGGGACCACCAACACCGTCAACAAGGCATTAATTGGTATCATATAAATTCATATTTCCTGGCCCAGTTTAATTTGCGGTCTGCATGCGAAATCGACGTGCAGGCGTGTGTTGACCTTTTTGCTTACAAATGGCCAATATGTAAATAGGCTGGCAATTAAAAATGCTGCCTGAATGAATTTCTGTTAATTAGCAAAAAAGAAAAGCCGCTGGCTAAAAGCATTTTACAATGGTCTGATATTGGGGAAAGTTTCTCTTGCGATTTTAAAATAAATTTGAAGGTTTTTTAGATAAATATAAGGATTTCTTTTATTACAAAACTGATTCAAACGAAGGCTAAAATAGTGAAATGTAAACAAACTGGTTGGTTATCTAAAAATCCATTCTTGCCATAAACGAGCCTCTTGGTATATTGTTTGGGCCTAAAAATAATATGAAAACCAGAGTACGGCAACACGTCAGCGTCAGCACTATCGGCCCAACTCTTAACTACACTTGACAAAAACGAAAAACAAAAAAATGTATATACTGGCTCCATTATAGCCAAAGTGCTGGTACCTGGCCTTTTGGCCATTGTTGGTGGCTATGTGCCTGCTAGTTTTTGCGCTTTTTTGTGCTGCTATTTTCGTTTTTTGGGGCGTTGCCGTGGCAGAGTTTTAATTAGCCTTGAGTGCGTGCTGGGCTGAGCCAAAAGCCGTACAAATTGTTATATAAACACATACCCTCTCATACGCCCAACAAAGTGTTTTAAGAGCCTAAAACATTGTCGCCGCCAAGTGTAGTTCGGCCAACATGAAAACTACGCAGGTCACGAGGAAAATAGTTGCCCAAGGTGCTGGGAGCCGTTCAACAAACAAACTACCAAACAAACAAAAAAAACTAAAAAAAAATTGGGGGGAAAAAAAGGGAAAGGAAAACGAAATCCGGCACAGAAGCAACAGCCAAGTGTAAAGTGTTGAAATGGCAACGGAAATGAAATTAGGGGAATGTGGCAGAAGTTGCTTGAAAGGACGTGCCCCGGATCGAGCTCCTTGCAACCCTGAATTTTTGCTGGCCCCAAAATAGTATCCCCAGCCCCTGCCTGCTTTGCTTTGCCGTCAATGCAGGCATAGTCGCCATGGCAAATGTTAAGGTTACATGCCCTTAGAAACAAAGCCCTACAAAAGAACTAACATTATAATAGCGAAATGCGGGCGATGGCCTGCCCTTCTGATTCTGCATTTTAATATTTCCTTTTGTTTTTCTTAATTTGCGTGTTTACGGCGAAATTGCATGCCGGCCGTAAAAATGAAAGCAAAGGTTTAATTTCTTGCTCGATAGCATTTAAAACAGCATTTATTAAAAGGGGTAGTATTAAAAAAAGGAAGCTACCGATTCATAGGACCCTGACGTCCTGCCATGTTAATGGCAGGAACATGTAAGCGGAAATGAAAAAAGTATAAACCTTTCTATAAAATATCCCGAATTTTAGAGGTGCCATTGAGAACTTTGCAATAACGATGTTTATAACTATAAGTAACATTTATTTATTAAATAATTTAAACACTTTTCAGGGCTGCAATTTAAAAACAATGTACATTAATATTAAGTCCGTTTACGCATAATATGTTATTCACATGTTCCTTGCAGTAAATCCGTCTCTTTATCTAAACCTAGATAAGTCCAAAACATATTCGATAATGCAAAAGACAACGAGATAGGCAAAAAAATAAAAATAAAAACTAAAAATCAATTGTAAAATGTAGCAGCGCTAATATGGAAACCTGATTTATCTGACAAATGTGTGCTTGTAACTGTTGTGCATGTTAGGTAATAAAATAGTAAATATTGCAAATTAATACTGTATCTATTGGAAATAGAGTTCACTTCCAAAGCTTCGATAAAATACCAATGTTTATATGGATGTGTGTGTCTAGGAATTAGGTGCTTTTTGATATCCCCCCAGACGCTAGCTAGGCAAAAGGAAAAATATGCATTGCAACAATTTTATAAATAAGAAGGCAGCTTAAGCAGAATGTGCGTAGATTTGGAAATAATCTCATTTATCAGAAAGAGGAAAACAAAGCTCAGCTCCAACTAAAACATGTCGATGGATACACACAGACAATACGCCCAAATGTATGCAATTTGATTGTGGAGATAGAATATTTTTTAATAAAAGTTTATAAGCAGAGATTGAAATATTTGTGAAACATATTTTAATAGACACCGAAAACCGAAAAACAAACAGAAAAAGTATAACTAGAGCAAAACTCTAAAGAGCGATAGCAAAAGAAAGATTTTTTGAAGAATATTTTTTTATATACAAAACCAGATGATAACGAAAAGTTGAAAACACTGCGAACAAATGCACAAAACATATATGTCTCGGATAACCCTAGCCTAAGTTGTTGGATTTGTAACCACATTTTTCGGTTAGACGTTTGTATATCGACAAGTTTACTTTTGATGGTTTCACCGAAATTATTTTGAGCCAATTTGTACAGTTATTCGTTTGAAGCTTAAGCAAGTAATCCAAAGTACAATCATTTATGTCAAACAGGACACTACCACAACACACCCAGAACTGGCCACAGGCGATTCTGGGCTAGAGCTAAACAAGACAAGGGGGTACGGTTACAGGGACAGCACAAAAGTATCTTTTGCTAAAATTGTTGTAAGCTTCATTTAATGAGAAACTACTTTGAGAAAATACTGAGCATTAAGAACAGAGTTTTGTTAAAAACTTAAATATTTATTTCCTGCAAAAAGTAAGAAACCCAAACTATTAGATCAAAGAAGACGGAGGACTTGCTAAACCGAATGTAATCCCCAAACACACCTCCTTAGCTTGATTTGTAATTAGCTGTACAGCTGACCCTATTCCCCTCCCATCCCCGTAATCTCACCCAAAACCAAAGATGTATGCAGCTGCTGGAGGCGCCTCGCTGGCCTCGCGCCAAGCCCGCCAGCGCCAGCGGCAGCAGAAGAAGAACCAACAACTACAGGCGAAACTACATCCACCGAAGGCGGCCGGGGCGGCGGGCTCCGGGGGGTCCGGCGATCTTGGCGCCTCCACGCCCACCCGCGGCCAGTCCCGGCAGTTCCACCAACTGCCGACCAACTACCTGCGGGCGCCCCAGGCCCAGGGCCGCAAGCTGAGCGCCACCTATACGACGCAATCGAAGCTCCTACTGCCAATCGACGAGGGCGACACCCAGTCGGTGCTGCAGCTGCGCATGCACTCCCACTCGCACGCCCATGCCCACGCCCACTCGCACTCACACGGGCCCGCCGCGCACGCCCACGGATTCCACAGTCATGCGGTAGTGCAGACGCCCTACCAGCAGTTCGCCTCGTCACACGGACGCGCCTCACCGAAGCTGGTGCATCGGCACTCCGGCAGCAGCAGCGCCGGATTCCATCCGGCATCCTCAGCCGCCGGTGGACAGCTGCACAAATCCGCCACGGCCACCCTGCCGCTGGTCTCCCAAATGGAGGACGGGGATGCGGATGCAGAAGCATCGACGTCGCCATCGGCTGTGGCCGGCGTTAAAACGACAGTGACCTCGTTGGAGTCAGCCACGCCTACGTCTCCCCCGCTGGCCAGCACTTCTGCTGCCGCTGCCGCCGCTCTAGCAGCCGAAGCCGCGGCGGAGGGAGAGTTTGCTGGCGCCGCCGCCATGTTTGTGCCCCACCATGATGCCATCATTGTAACGCCGGCCACGCCCATGGCCTCGCCGGGCCACGTGGCCAAGCTCCGGCGACCGGGACCGGAGGAGCTGCTGGAGACGTCTACCGCCGAACGCCAGCCCCTGACCGCCGGCCATTTGGACGATGACGAGGAGGAGGAGCCCCTACATCCGGCACCTGGACAATTGGAGCGCAAGTGCAGCGTCTATCGGATGCGCCGGAGTGACGCCTTCGAGCAGGATGCTGGCGGCGTGCTGAAAAGGCAGCTCCGGGAACTCCAGTTCAGCACAGGAGTCCAGCAGACGCAGTACGAGCCACTCCTGGCCGACGAGCCGCAGCTTCTCTTCAAGGGACTGGGCGGGCGGAAGATGCAGATCTGCGGCTACTGCGAGGAGGGCATCTGTGTGTGCGAGCACCTCGAGGTAATTTCGATCTGGCCAAGAACTCTAAATGGATTTTATTTCTGGGTCCTCTACTTATTTCTATATGTCCTACGCATGTCCTTGAATTGGTTTTAGTTCTGTGTGTTTTCAAGTCTCGGTGTGCGAATGCTCTTAAAATAATAGGGATTTTATTTATTATTTATTTATAATTAATATTATCTCTAATAATAATTCTTATAAGATAAGTTTTGGTTCAAGCCTACAGGTCGTATGAGTTATGTGGGTTATGCTGGGAGAGACTCATCCTATGAGGGTTTCTATATTTACAATATACAATTTAATATTCAATATTTTTAATATTCAAGAATGGGTACCTACGACTTCGGATAAAATAATTCTTTTAAGTGTTAAATCAATCACTGGGGGCGGGCATACAGGTCGTATGATTTATTTGGAAGAGTTACATAAGATTTACGTAAAATAATCCTCATAAGTCGAGATCTAAGGTTCGATACACAGGTCGTATGAGCTATGTCGCATGCTTGACTATCGTGTTTTTGTATATTTATATCCATATATTTGCTTAAAAGGTCAACCTTGCTAAACACTGCATAAAATAACTTTTTAATAACTTTCTGGTCTTATGGGTAATTTTGCTTCATATATTTATGTGGATATGTGTAAATATGTGTGTCCTCTATTAGGGATTCTAATACCCTTGATGTTTTACTCATTTTTCTATAAATATTAAATTTGTCTCAACATGAATACGCTTTAAATGGCATGAATTATAGCTGTCTCAGGGTGTTGTGTTAATATTAATATGTGTGTTAACCCATAATCTATGTATGTTTTCGAAAAAAGAATACTTCAAGTGCCTCAAAAGATTATTGGGAGACAGAGAAGATACTATTATTTTGTATGAAAGGACTTTAATAACAAGTGTTAAATTATTATATTTATTTTTCTGGAAAAATATTCCTCCAAAACTGCAGAGCTTTATACCAATGCCATCTTCTAAACTATATATGCAAGTCCTTGCAGTTGCCTTATATAAACAATATTTATATGTACATACACCTTACATAAAATGTTGAAAACTAGAACATTTTTATCACACATCGATTCTCACACATTAAAAACACTCGATTGAAGCTTTGAAGGCTCCGGCTCCCCCGCGTTCGTACATTTATTCGTACGGCATCTCTAATAAGGACAAGTTGCTCTTGGCAGGAGTCAACTGGCTCGATTTGTCCAACTTTGTGCAACTTGGCTCTCTCCCTCGGCCAGCCCCATTTTTGAGGCGATGCCATAACGGCGGCAGCGCCGACAAGAAAACGGGCCAGAGCCAGAGCCAGAACCGGAGCAGAGGAAGCACCGACGATGGCAAGTGCATGCATAACAACAATTCGAGATTCGGAAGCGCATAATGTGCCTTTGTATCGGCCTGATAATGTGCTGGCCGACGAGCAGCAAAAAAGTGCTTGGCAGACACATGCCACCTCCGCATGCCACAGGACTGCCGCCTCCTGCCTTTCGACTGGCGCCGTTTGCCAAATGTTGTGTAAAAGGCTAATGGCGGACACGGAATGTGTGTCATAAAAGTGCAAGGTGGTAGTGGTGGTGGTAGCGGTGGCGAGTCTTAAAGTTTCCTCCTTTAAGTTGACACTAACTGAGCTCAGCCGAACTCGGCTCACAACTCACTTAACAAGCTTCTCGGGCCAAGAGGCGGTAAATTAAAAAACTTAGCGCTTCGCAATTATTTGGCTTGCATAAGCACCGCATCAACTACGTATATAAATGTCTTTATGCAAAAAAAAACAGAAAACTTGCACAAATTAAACAAAACGTGCGCACAAAAGAAAATCTCTGTAAGACCCGGCTAAAGACTGAATAAAATAGAGAACCAGATCCACAAAACAATAGAAATGCTTGGGGTCGACACAATATTTCTCATTGAGTTTTAACTTGATACTATGTTTATACATATATCATACTTTGAGAGAGATTTGGTTTATGATGTTCTCTACTAAATTATTACAATAAAACATCAATATTATAGCAAATTTTGTCTACTCTTTTTTAGACAAAATAATCGCGCCTTGGGAAGTTTAGTAGAAGCTTACATTTCACAATAACTCCGAGTACCTCGTGCACTCAACAAGGACTGGGCGTTAAAAAAAAATAATGGCTAAAAGGGGCAAAGACTGGCGGTAGAGAAAGGCGAAAAGAAAAAAACGGAAGAAAGCAAACAGCAAAAGCGAATGACGGCGGCTGAAATTTATTATATTCCCTTGGAACCCACGCCAGCGTCATTTCTAGTCGCGCTTCTCGCTTTTCCTTCCCGGGCCACTCGAATCCCTAAAAGAGACATGGATTTGTCGGTGTATGCGTTTCCGTGTCTATGTGTTGCAAGTTGCGAGTGCCTCTCGCCTCCCTCACTGCCCTCACACAAAAACAACAGCTAGTAAATTAGCTGGAAAATAGAGAAAAAAAAGTATGCGGCAAAATGGCGGACGCCAGAAATGCGAAAAAATATCATCATCACTGTATCACCCACCCATCCTACCATCCGCCGCCCACGCCCATATACCCGTGCCAACGCCCAACTCCCCCCTCAAAAGTCGCGGAATGAAAACGGCGAAAAACTTGTAATAAAGGTGGAAATAAACGCGGCAGAATGTCCGCCACCTGGGAGGACGAGGCAGGAAATTTCAGAATTTATGAATAAGCAAAATGGCGACATTGGGATAAATAACTGCATTAGCATTAATTGCCCAATGCACATTCTTTAGTAGAGATTTAGTGAGATTTCTGATTTCGGGACAAGCGCCAAGAGTTCTCAAATGGTTACTCAAAGCAAACATCCTGAAAAGTTGGCTGAAGGTTCTAAGACTTTAAAGTCTATGATATCCATGAGACTATGAGAGTCTATAAGTCTAAAATATCTTAAACTTTTACTCTTCTGAGTCTTGGATCTAGATTCTACACCCAATTCCAAACAAAAGACAAACCAATTATAAATCTTTAATGAAAATAGTATTATCCACAGCCATTAATCGTTCATCCTGTCTTATCGTCCTCGCATAACTCAAGATTCCAATTTCCAAAGGCTGTGAATCAGCTCTCTTGTGCAATCCAGAGCTCGAGGTCATTCCATTGTGATTATTTCTGTTTGATGAATCAAATCGCTTACGCTCAAATGAACAAGATGCCTTGATTTGCAGGGACATCGGAATTTAATTTGCAATTACACAAGATGTCTGCCGAAAAGTGCGGCGGTAGCGATTGCTGGCTGCCTCCGAATGCAGCCCCAATAATTACTCAAACTGTCGCCCGTAGATGGCGCCAGCCCACCACTGTTCCCCTCATCATAGCCACGCCCTCTTTTCAGAGACTTTATTTCGGTGAAGCTGCAGCCTTGTGGCCCAATTTTTCCCAGGATTCGACAGCCTGCTGGTAATTGTTTGTCAGGCACGTCGGTCTGGGCTTGTACTCGTAATTGTAACTGACACATTGCATTGGCAGTCGGCGTGCCTTCCAGCCAGGCCCTCCATTCAAGCCATCTCGCAAATAAAGTGGTAATCAGACTTCTGCCCAAAAAAAAAAACCCAAGCCGATCAACGACAGTTTCTTGTTTATTGGATACTTTGCGGCAGCTTCATTGAATTATTGTTGCATAATTCATTCACTGGCACTGGGAAAAGGATAAAAACCAGCAGAGGAGCTGGAAACTCCTCTCGTTTATTGCAAAGCCACATTTAAATTAATTTTCGATTTTGGCTCGATGCTTTTTCTCTGTTTGCTTATTCCGCTTGTGCCAACATTTATCTTCGATGTTTGGCCAGCGTGCGAACGAGGCAAGTGGCGAGGCGAGAGTGGCAAGTGGCAAGTCTGCCAGTGTGTTTGGATATGTGCAGCTTGATTGTTGTCGCATGGCAGCCATGGGCAGTAAAAATCATTTAAAAAGACACAAATTACTCTGGGCCGTGGTCGGGACCTAAATTGCTTGGGCAATTTCATCGGAACGCAATTACAAAACTGCATTCCCTAGTATTGGAATTTGGTAATTGAGATACTATACATACTAAAGGGGTTTTTCAATATACTATAGTGGATATTCTACTATAAATACTATAAATCTGCATTTAATAAATGGAACAAATAACTTGACTTTCTCGACTATACAATACCCGGTACTTCTCTCGATTACTACCTAAAGCCTGTTAAGGTAAATGAATTGTACTACAAGGAAATAATTTATGGAATTTAAATAGATTACACTAAGCTCTGTACTATACTAAATTGTGGCAAAGATACTTATCCTCTGCATAATACCTGGTACTATTCAATTATTTCTTTTAGTTCTTCTAGTTAATAAAACAATCTTAAAAATTACAAGGAAATATGAATATTAAACAGAGACATAAAAGCTTATTCTTAGTACATATACTTTCTATATCGGTTCCTATAGCTTATATCTTATAAACTCATCTTTCTCGACAAACTTTCAAGTCAAAAAGTCTACCCTACGATAGGATTAAGCAATTTATCAATTTAGTAGAACCCAATAATTTTAGCTCAATTAGCGCTGGTTAGTGGTTTGGTTTGGCCAGGGCAAATTTGCGCAACAGACATCATTGAACAAACAACAACCACAAGTGCTACGCAAACACACTCACACACACATGGCCCATGCACATGTGTAGATCCTTAAACTCACACAGCGGCAGTTGACTCGATTGTTGTCAACAATCAAATAACACGACTTCCAACGAGGACAGTTGCCATTTCTCACGGCATGTGGGGGCGGCATATGCAAATTCCCGTCGAGGGGCGCCCAGTATGTGCCTTTAATTACCTGCAGACAAGGCGCCCGTCGAGAGACAGGTGAACAAGTCAGCGGGCGATGTGCCAAAAATTGGCCCGAACAAAAGCCATGAAAATGGAAAAGGGCCTAAGACTGGCTCTTACTCTGGGCCCCTTTTTTCCATTCACATTAATTAACCTGAGATATGCACTCCCCCAGAGCCGAGGGC